GGTGGACAGCTTTCCTCTTGGCGATGTCCTCCTCTGTGTCACTCTCACAATTCCTCTGGAAAAAAAAAAAGAGGCCCAGGGCAAGAGGGTCACAAGAGGCCAGTGATGGGGTTGTGCTGGGCAGCCTGGTTGATACTGGGCCAAGGGGCCTGCAAGCCGGGGAGGTGGGCATTGAGGTGAAGGCTGTTGCTCCGTCTAGAGTCTGGGGGTGGGGTGGGTGAGGGTGGGGAGGGACCAACTGCCTTGAGGCCTCCTTCCCAGGAGGAAGGAAAACAGGCAGCGCATCTGGGAAAAACCAGGCACCAGGAGAAGCCAAATCATAATAATAATGAAGATGATATCTGGTGCTCTTTGTAGCTGCCATGTAACCAAGACCACTTGGGTAAGTGTTCAGGGTCTCCTGAACTCAGCCTGGAGAGGATGGGGGGCAGGGGTGAGCCACAGGGACCTCCCCAACCTCTGATGCCCACTGCTCCATACCTCCTCTGCTCTGACTGGCTTAGGCTGCATCTTTGGCTTTTGGGCTCCATCTTTATGAAAGAGGAAAAGAGTAAAGGGCATTCCATGGCTCAACCAGAGTCAGGGCAACCATCCTGGAGGTCACAGTGCCTTTTTTATTCAGGCCACATCAGTCTAATCAAATTATTTTTTAAAGATTTTATTTATTTATTTGTCAGAGAGAGAGCACAAGCAGGGGGAGCAGCAGGCCGAGGGAGAAGCAGGCTCCCTGCTGAGCAGGGAGCCGGATACAGGACCTGAGCCACCAGGCGACCCCAGTCTAATCAAATTATTAAAATTTATTAAAAGAGGTACTAATTCAGAAAGACTTCAGTGCGTCATAAATAATCTGTTCTTGGATATTCAATTTTAAGGCTGCCTGAACAAAAGGATCTATTATTATTATTATTATTATTATTATTATTATTATTATTATTAAAGGAAATTCCCTTTGAGAAAACTATATAATAGATGTCTGGGACCCAAGCCTTCCTTTTCCACTTGTAGAATGAGCCATTGAGCTGATGGCACTGAGTGGGCTATTTTTAAATGTGTGCACAAGGACAAAAATTAAGAAAGAAATTTACATTCTTTCCAATTATTCTCCAGTCCTGTCTCCCGATGGTCTCCATCATATGAGAACAAGTCACTTGCCATATGCCTTGACAAAGCCTTCTCTCTCTCCTTGCCTGGCTTGAGCCAGTTGGAAATCCAAGGTCAAGATTAACTTTAGCCAGGGGCGCCTGGGTGGCTCAGTCTTTAAGCGTCTGCCTTCGGCTCAGGTCCATGATCCCAGGGTCCTGGAATTGAGCCCCGCATCGGGCTCCCTGCTAGGCCGGAAGCCTGCTTCTCCCTCTCCCACTCCCCCTGCTTGTGTTCCTGCTCTCGCTGTCTCTCTCTCTGTCAAATAAATAAATGAAATCTTAAAAAAAATAAAAATAAAAATAACTCCAGCTCTGCTGAATAGCCACTTTTTAGCATGAGTCAGAGCCAAACAATGAAAAAGTAAGCTGGGGGAAATCTGCCTGTCATTACCGGGGATTTTCAGAGGGAAAGTCCAGTCCCCTTGAATAGCAGATGAGGAGAGCAGTCAGAGAAGGGACATGGCTTTGCCAAAGGCACACAGTTGCTTAGGGCCTCTGGTGCCATAAACCCTCAAATCAAGAGCAAGAATCAAGAGCTTCGGCTGAAGAAAGTGGATCCCAGGATGTGGCGTGGAGGGAGGTCCTGGGATGCAGTCCAAGAGCTGCGGGTCCTGGGGCGCTGTTCAGGGCTGACGGCCCCGTCCGTCCCAGGCAGCTGCCCTTCCTGTGCCATCCCAGACACTTCTGGGGCCTTCCCACATTTGATATGCAGCAGGGAGCATCTGTCCCGGGCACCTCTACGAGCAGAAATACTAACTGCATTCTGAAGCACTTGGCACTGCATTTTAGTCTATGGGGAGATTTTATACAATAATAACTGCTAAGGGCGCCTGGGTGGCTCAGTCGGTTAAGCGTCTGCCTTCGGCTCAGGTCATGATCCCAGGGTCCTGGGATCGAGTCCCGCATCGGGCTCCCTGCTCTGCGGGGAGCCTGCTTCTCCCTCTGCCTCTCTCTCTCTCTGTCTCTCATGAATAAATAAATAAAATCTTTAAAAATAAAAAAATAAATAAATAAAAAATAAAAAAATAAAAAATAATAATAATAACTGCTAATACATACTGAGCACTTCTAATGACAGGCTCTAAGGTTATGTCATCATTTAATCCTCATCACTACTCTATGAGGTAGGAACTGTTGTTAACCCCATTTTACACAGGATGGCATTTTGGCACAGAGAGGTTAAGTAATTTCCTCAAGGTCACACAGCTAGTAAGTGGCCGATATGAATTCTGAAAGTCTGGTTCCAGAGGCCACACTCCTGAGTAAGTTCCTCATTTTAAATGTACATAAACAGTAACAAGCTAGTCAAATATCCTCTAAGTATTATTGTTGTTGTTGTTGTTATTGTTATTGATGGCAATCTAAAGCAAAACAGAAATGGAAAAATTGAAAAACGAACATTAAGCTCTCATTCTATAGTAGATCTTCGGATTATCAGGACTACATTTTGGATTGACTGTGGTAGCCGTGTTATTCAGAGCCCTCAAGGACCCTAGCAGGCTGCAAGTCCTCATGGAAAAGACCGGGGCAGCGAAACGGCTGCAGCAGTCCCTTCGAAAGCCCACCAGGAAAGGATTCAAGATCCTCCAGAAGCCCATGCTGCCCCATCGGAGCGCTCCCCTCCCAGCACCACCCCAGCGGCCCCCCCAAATGTGCAACCTCTGCCGATCACGCAGCACAGAGGACAGAACGAGCAGAACCGGTGAGAAACAGTTAGCACCCACCTGCTCCCTTCCATCCCCGAGCTCCAGGCCACCCCAGAATCCTGCCCAAGAAGAGAACGCTGCATTTACCTACCAGGTCCTCCTCTGGCCTCAGGTGCACCTTCTTCATCAGGGAGCGGGTGAGGTGGTTACACAAGGAGACAATGCTGAAGGAGAGCTGAGGGAGAGAGAAAAGGGGCTGCCAGGTGAGACTGTGCAGAGACCCACCGGGGCCCCCTGCTCCCCACCCCAAACGTTGACACACCTTCCATCGCCTGCGGACATATTGCTTCTTTAAATTCTCCAGGTTGACCACAGACTCCCTGCGGACCAGGGCTTGCTGGTTGTCCACCGGCTGGGAGACAAAGCAGAGCTTGGTGGCTGACACTGGGCTTGGGTCGGCAGCCACCCACCCTCCTTCAAACCCCCAGCCACATGCTGTCCTTAGCCTGACTCTGGCACCTCCTCATAGGGCAGGGCATGCAGAGGGCCATCGCATTGAGGCCAATGGTTACAGATTTCTTTTCTTTTTTTTTTTTTTTTTGCGAGAGAGAGAATGAGAGACAGAGAGCACGAGAGGGAGGAGGGTCAGAGGGAGAAGCAGACTCCCCGCTGACCAGGGAGCCCGATGCGGGACTCGATCCCGGGACTCCAGGATCATGACCTGAGCCGAAGGCAGTCGCTTAACCGACTGAGCCACCCAGGCGCCCTACAGATTTCTCAGCTTTCAGGAGATGCCCCTGGTGCCATTATATTAGAACACAGCCAGACACACACTCTGGCTGGGCTGGAGACTCGTCCCCCCAGAGGGGAAGAATGGGAGGCAGAGACTTCAATCACGGCTCGCTTTGGGGAAGGGTCATTGGACAGCAGTCTAGGATGCCCACTGTGCGCTGGGCTGGTACTGGGCTTAGCAAAACAGAGGGCAAATAGAACATTAGGACTCCGTTCAAAAGTAAATTGAAGGAAATGGGGGCTTCAGTGGAGAGGGAGAGGAAATGGGATGTATAGTTGCCTTTCACAGCCTGGCAGTTAAAGCTCAGCTTAAATCCTGACTTCTCCAACAAGCTGGCCTAGCTTCACTAAGCCTCAGTTTTCTCATCTGTATTATGGGGGTAATAGCTTTATTATGGCATAATTGACATATAAAAAAACTGGACATGTTTAATGTAAACAATTTGATGAGTCCATTCCCCCTTGAATTCCTCCCTTTCTGTAAAACAAAGTTTTCCTAGATCAAAAGATAGGTTTCAGAGGTTCTTTGAACCCCCTGAAATGGTTTGCAAGTTTTAGTGTGCAGACTTGTACATGAATGTTCAAAGCAGCATTGTTCATAATAGCCAAAAAGTAGACACAACTGAAATGTGTATCACCTGATGAGTGAATAAACAAACTTCTCTACAATGGAACATAATTCAGAAATATTATCCACAATATAGTTGAGCCTTCAACAATGCAGGGGTTAGGGCACTGAACCCCTACACAGTCAAAAACCCACATATAAATTTTGACTCCCCAAAAACTTAACAACTAACAGCCTACTGTTGACCAGAAGCCCTACTGATAACATAAACAGTCGACTGACACATATTTTGTATGTGATATGTTTTACGTACTGTATTCTTACAATAAAGCAAGCTAGAGAGAATAAAGTGTTGAGAAAATTTTAAGGATGAGAAAATACATTTACAGTGCTGTCCTGTATTTATAAAAAAATAATCCACATGAAAGTGGACCCCCACAGTTCAAACCTGGGTTGTTCAAGGGTCCACTGTACTGACAGATACTACAATGTGGATGAACCCTGAAAACATTATGTTGAGTGAAAGAATCCAGACACAAAAGGCCACATACGGTATGATTCTATTTACATAAAATGCCCAGAATAGGCAAATTGATAGAGACAGAGATGAGATTGGTGGTTGCCAGGGCTAGAGGGGGGTGGGGGTTGCCGAGAGAGGACTCTGAGAGGGTATGAGGTTTTTTTTGGATTAACAAAATGTCCTGGGGCGCCTGGGTGGCTCAGTTGGTTAAGCGACTGCCTTCGGCTCAGGTCATGATCCTGGAGTCCTGGGATCGAGTCCCGCATGGGGCTCCCTGCTCGGCAGGGAGTCTGCTTCGTCCTCTGACCCTCCCCCCTCTCATGTGCTCTCTCTCTCACAAATAAATAAATAAAATCTTAAAAAAAAAAAAAAAGTACTTAAAACAAAACAAAACAAAACAAAAACAAAATGTCCCGGAGTTAGATGGTGGTGATTATTGCACAACCTTGGGAAGATACTAAAGACTACTGAACTGTATTCTTTTAAATGGGGAATTTTATGGTGTGTGATTTAGATCTCAATAAAAAATTTAATTTAATGCGTGTGCACACATATACATTTCTTCCAAAGAGAGCTGATAGATTTCATCCATTCTCAGAGAACTCTGACCTCAAGAAAACGAACTGCCAGGGATGACCCATACGGGCCCACCCAGCTTGATTTTTCTCCCTGCTCTCACAGCCTCCTCACAGCAATGCCTCATTTGGCTCCTCAGTGAATGCTGAGCGACGTCGCTTGTGGGTTCCTGAGCGCTGGGCTTGTCTCCCCTCTGCGCCTGGAGCCCTCCTCCGTTCTTGCTGGTTTTTCCTCATGGCGCTTGGCACATAGGGCTGGCCCACACTGCTGGGGACCTAAAACCTCCCGGCAGGAGGCGCACTTTCCATGCCCACCCCAGCCCCTGTGCTCCCGGAAGGCCCCTCTGTTTCAAAGCCCAGGTCAAACATGACGTTCTCCAAGACAGCTTCCGAAAGGCAGTGACTCTCTCCCTGCCAGGACCGAAACACAGGGGAGCTCCCTCAGTATTTCTCACCAACCTCGGCCAGCTCTGCAGTGGGGCCGTCTCACTAGTGAAAAACAACTTGAGGACACAGAAGGAATTCTCTTCAGGGTTTTGTCAGTGTCCTCTGCCCCACCTCCTCCCCACCCAGAGCAGACACCGGTGGGTGCTTAACAGCTATAACGTTAGTTTCCCCGAGTTGCTGAAGAGACACACTGGAATGAAATCCTCGGACCCGGGACCTGCTCACTCCTGCCAATGACAGGCCCGGGCTTCTGGATCAGCAGCCGTGACACCATGGCTCCCCAGGGCTCTGCCTGGGAGTCAACAGAGCTCTGTGGGGGTCAGGGAGCAGGGAGGAAAGTGCACATACCCTCGACATTGGAGGGGGGGTGAGAAAGCCAGGGGCTCTTCACTCTCCCAAACTAAAACACTCTTTGGGCCAGAGACTGAGGGGGAATGAGGGGAGGGGGAAGGAGGAAGACAGAGAGGGAAGAGAAGAGGATGAGGCCGCTGAGGGGACCATCCAGCTAAGCTCTCCTAGCTCTTTCCTTCACCGCCTCTCACCTCCTCTGTCACACCGGCAAGCCCAGCCCTGGGTCTAGGTCTCACCCGAGGCGAGACACAAAAGAGGGCAGAGCCTGACTTTAACTGGTATCAAAGCCTTCCAGCAGCTTCCCGGCACCCTTGATGGAACACAACAAGCTCACCAAGCCCCCCAAGGCCTGTACCATCTGGGTCCTGCTCCACCCTGATGTCCTCTTCCCTCTCTCCTTTCTGTCACTGTGGCTCCTACAGTCTGCTTGCTGGCTCAGGAACCCAAAATCTCAGGGTCTTTGCTCTTGCTCCTTCATATATTCACTTTGTCACTTTGTTCAGTCTTTGCTCAAATGTCACTTCCTCAGGAAGCCTTCCTCGACTTCTCTATATAAAATAGCACCCCAACTGCCCCATACAATGCACTGTGCCTGCACCCTACTTCTTCATGACAGGTATCACTACCTGACATTCTATTCTGTATTTGTTTTTTGTTACTCTCCCTCTCCCGCACCTCCCAGCAACTAGTGTCTCCTTCCCAGGGTGATTTCCTGCCTCCCCAACCCACAGAACATTTCTACCTCTAACCTCACTGATGTCTGCATTCACTTTGGAGCCTAAGCCCTGCAGGGGACACTTGCACTTCACTTGGAGAGTTTGATGAGGTGGGATCAGCAGACGCTGGGAGGGAAGGGACCTCTTTTTATCCACTTACTGATTGGCACTCTTGCCAGAAGAGAGAGGCCCGAACCCCATGGCTGGAAAGTCAACACGCAGTTAGGGGAATCCCATTAATAAGAATCCTACCTTCCAACTGGTCCAGCAGTACCAGCCATGGAGCAGAGGGGCCCAACTAAAATATGAGGGGAGACCATTCCCAGAAGCCATTAATGGGAGGTGATGCAATTGCTTCTAGGGCCCTGTCTATGTGCTACACAAAACAGCATGAACTCTGAGAAGGGGGCCACCCAGGCATAAATCTGTCAGGCTGGCCTTTCCTAATCAATGGGTCTCCTCGGTTGCCAAGAGGCTCACCACTTGCTGACACCACCATCTAATCCTTGGAAGTCAGAGACATAAATTCTGCAGTGAAATTTGTTCCCAGAAGGAACAACACTTTTGACTAAATTAGGGGTGTCAGGGGGATGGGGCTGCGTTCTGCCTTTTCTTGGCCCTCCCCTCTCTGCAAACACACAGTACCCACCTTCCAACCTGAGGTCCTTTGGCCAGAGTATGGGCAATTCTGACCAGGCTCCCAGGAGCACGTTTAGTGTCTCGGAAAAATGTCGGGAAAGGAGGCAAGAAGACAGAACGCTGTGGCTGAAGTCAGGTTTTTTTTATGGAGATGCAAACGGCCTTGACAAAGTCCAGCAGGGTGTGCTGGGTCAGCACCGACGCCCAGAGAGCAGAGAGTTGGAACAGCAGCTACCCCCCGGGCACAAAAAAGGAACTCTCTTTACAAGAAGAGGCACTCCAGATTTTCTCTCAATACCAGGCCTCCTCTAGAAACGGCAAACAGATTGCAACTTTTCAAATCTCCATCTGTGCCATTTCTCCAGCCCCACCCTCCATGGAAAGTCAGGGACACCTGAGCACCCACTTCCATCTCCAGCCTGGGTCTGTCTGTCTCCAGCCCCACCAATCTCCCTTAATCCAGTCTCTCTATAGGTGGCACCTCCAACTCTCCCTTTTGATGGCTTCACTTCCCAGTCTTCCCAGGAAAGGAGCACATGAGGCTTATGAGGACCTGAGTGTCTGCCTCCTTATACATGGGTGGGGAGATCTGTGGAGAGACTGCGTCTCTGCAGGTCGTCCTGCACATAGAAGAAGGCAATGGAAAGGAGTGGGATGCCCCCTTTCCTTGCCTGACCTGGTCTCACTTTCCTGAGTTAGGTCTCTGCACTTTTAATCCTCTTTCCAGGACCTTCAGTTTTCTGAGCAATTTTTTGTCCCCAGGAAAAGTTTCCAAAGCTCTCCCTCATGTACCGGTATGGAAGACAGGAGACCTGAGAGACGTCACAACCAAATGCCACGCATGGACTGTGTTTAGATCCTGATTTGAACAAACCACCCCCAACAGGACAACCTGGAGAAAAGTGGAGACACGGGAGTATGGAATATGTATCCACATGATATTAAGGAATGATTCTTGGTTTTGTCAGGTGTGATGATGGTACAGGAGTAGTATTAAAAATAAAGTGCTTAGAAATACATGCTGAAGAATTTATGAGTGAAATAAGTCTAAAGTTTGCTTTAAAATACTCCGGAAACAGCGGTGGTGCAGGTGCATGTGAGATTATGGGCCATAACTTGCTCACTGCTGCAGCTGGGTAAGAGGCATATGGAATTCACTATACCCTTCTGGGTATGTGTGAAAATTTCCCACAACAAAAAGTTCAAAGCGAAAACACCCCCTAAATTCCTGTAAAGCTCCTCTTTTATCTCCGTTTAACAGGTCCAGGCTCCTGGCCCTAATCTGGGCTCATGCCCACCCCTCCAAATTCTACATGGTACCTTCTCAGGCTACAGCTTGGGAAGGAGGTGTTGGAGGGGGGGACCCTCCCTGAGAACGTTTCTGCCCCCTGCTGACCCTCTGACCCTTTCTCAGTCCAAATTGATCTCTCTCGTTTTTTGGAATATTGGGTATCTCTATTTTATCACTCAGCATGGCCTTTCCCATCTCCCAGTTCAGGGGCAGGGGGTGGTTCCCATCTGTCGCAGACACTGAGTCTTTTATTCAGGGGTTGTCTTGTCCTTATCTGTCACCTCCCTTCAGAGCCAGAGCACAATCAGTGTTTGTCCAAATGAACTGGTCCCTTCTGCTCCTCAAATATGCCCACTGCTGGGTCTCCTCTACAGGGCAAAGAATCTTCTCCACAGGCCAAGAGTTTCACAGACAAAGGAGAAAAGGCCATTCAGTGCCACAGACCTTTCCAGAGGCTGACAGTGGGGTTGGTGGCTGGGCACACAGCCACCTCCCACACGGGCTGGGTGCCCTGCCTGTCAGAGCGAGGTGGGGGGCCGCCATCTTCACGATCACCTGTGGGGGAGGGTGGGCAGTGCGGGGAGAGGGCTCGCGGGGGAGACTGACTTCTCCTGCCATTATCACTCTGCCCCGTCCCTTCACTGCCGGCCCCCTCACCGGTTACCAGGCTCTCTCCACCTTTCCTCCCGCAAAGCTGAGCTATCACATGCCATGTGCATCTGCCTCAGAGGGGGGACAGGCTGCTGCCTTTCCCAGATGCTGACTCTCCATCTTCCTTGGGAATCCGTAATCAGGAAGATGTCACACGCTCAGCCTCCCCGACAGCCCAGGGTGGCATTTGCACAGAGCAGACGCCAACCTCTCGATACGTGGTGAATGAAAACTCTTCCTTTGTGGCTGATGTGGCCTGGCAGCGCCCCCCAGGCCTTCCTCCCTCTAGGTACCAGTGAAACATTCCCCTCCTGACACCCCATCTGGCCACTGTCAGCCCCGCCCTGCCCTTGACTCCACGGTTACGACACCAGCTATGCGCATGTGGCGGGGAATCCAGCGGATCCTCCAGCTGGGCGTTCCACAGGCCTCCTTGGGCTCTCCCCTTGGCATCAAGTTCTGATGCCAAAGGGTGACAGGAGTTGGACCGGCCAAGTGACAGAGGAAGGTCACAGCCTCCTCTAATTTCCCTGAAAGACCTGGGGGCACTTCTCAGTTCATTTGTGTTCAGAAGCTCTTAGGTACAGAAAAGGGTCTGCTTAGAAAACATCTAAATAATAAATAGTTACCAATGACAGGACATGAACACAGAAAGGATGATTCCTCGACTGGGAGGAAAACCACTTATGGTTCTGACCCCAGCTCTGGGGATGACCAGCTGCATGACTCCAGCCGGGTCTTGTCCTGTCAAATGCTGTAAAACGAGAGTGTCTGGTGGTTCGCCTCTCAGTACCTCCCAGCACGAACGGTGAGTGGCCAGTGCCATGATTCTGGACTAACCGCTTTCCCCTCCCTGTTCCCAGTGTCCTTAATTCAAGTCAGCACCGTCTTACTCCTGTAGTGCCTTTTATCTCGAGCTTCACAAGAAAGTTTAACCTGAGTTACTCAGCTGGGGGCTTCCTTTCTTTAGGAGATCTGGTTGTATGAGCTCAAGGTCTACTGACATGGCCAAAGGGCGAGTAAGTTCTTGGAGAGACTGGAGACAGGTCACTTGTAGCCAGTCTCCCAGGCAGGGCACAGGAAACAGGGCTTCGCTATCTTCCATTTCCGATTCCAAATGCACACACTTTTGGATCTCTGAAATCAGGACTTCTCTTCTAACAAACGGCATCATATCATTACAGTGGGTCTGAAGTGAAGACAGGTGCTCCAGGAGATGACCACACTGCTTCTGTCGGACATTGGGGGCCACCCAACCTCAGACCGTGTGACATTAGATTCTCTGCTTGAAGGTTCATTCGGATCACACGGATTGGGCAAATACAGAAAGCACACCTGCGTGATTACCACCCACCTGGGGCTCCTCTTCCCAGGGGAGGATTTTTCATTCCTCCATCTAGCATTAAGGAAGAAACACACGTTTCCTTGCTTTCCCTTTTTTGCACGATGGCTTTATTTCTTGGTTGCCTTCTCAGTGAAGGTGTCTCAGCTTTGGGGTGGGGGGAGGGGAGGCAGTCTCCTACCTCACTTGGCTTTTTTCTTTCTTATTTTTGGTATCTGAAATAACAATGCATCATATATTTGATGAAAATATGGTTTCTTACATTTGATAGAAACCGTTTCTGTTACAAATATTATGTATGATATTTGAGATGATCTGGCAGGATAATGGAAAAGGAGGTAGGTTTGCATGGGGTCAAAATCTCATGTCTTGTCCCAAACCACTTGCCGTCTGTGCTGCTCACTGGCCATGCCCTCCCCTGCCCAGCAGCGCAGGCAGCTGACTAGCCTGGGATCCATCATGGCTCCCCATGATTCTTGGGATGAAGGCAGAGCTCTTTAATATGGCAAAGTACCACTGGTCATGCCTCCTCTCCAGACACATCTACACCATATACCCACCTTATCCTCTCCCTTCCAGCTTCCGTGCCCCCTCCACCACCAAGCCCTAGCCCTGACAGCTCTGTCGGGAACACTTCTTTCTCCCTGGTTTGCTTTGCGGACCTCGCTTCCAGCATCACCACCTCAGGGAAGCCTTCCCCGACTAGATCAAACCCCTGCTGCCAGCTACACACTTCTCTTCCATAGCATGTGTTCCACCTACACTTCTGTACTTGTAGAATGTTCTAGATTAATGTTGGAATCCTTTTCCTGACTGTGAACTCCATGAAGGCAGGAAACAAGCCTGTTTTCACTCAACATTGTATCCCCAGTGCCAACCCGACCGCCCGGCAGTTGGCAGGTGCTCAAACATTATTTGTCAATAGATGGATGGGTGAGTCTGGGTATCTCTGCCCTGTAAGCAGAGAGTAAACTCCTGGAGCTGAGGCAGTTAGGGGAAGCAAGAAAGAGCAACAGACGTATCATCAGAAGGGCGCCACTTTTACCACGACCGTGGCCTTGGGCAAATCACAACCTCTCTGTTTCCACATCTCCAAACTGGGAATAACACCTACCCTGCCTATCAGACAAGGGTGTTTTGTGAGTCTGTGAAGTCACTTTGAAATGATACCATCTGGTCCCTCACCCCAAGCTTCTAGCCTAGTGCTGGGCCCACACTCCACCACGCTCTGCCCATATGAGCTGGCTGACTGGCCCCTCCGGGGAGATGACCTCACACAGTCCTCAGGGAGGTGTGCTCAAAGCTTGGCGTCAGGTGGGGACCACTGAGCCTGTGCTTCCCAGTCTTCTTTTTTTTTTTTTTTAAAGATTTTTATTTATTTATTTGAGAGAGAGAGAATGAGAGACAGATAGCAAGAGAGGGAAGAGGGTCAGAGGGAGAAGCAGACTCCCCGCCGAGCAGGGAGCCCGATGCGGGACTCGATCCCGGGACTCCAGGATCATGACCTGAGCCGAAGGCAGTCGCTTAACCAACTGAGCCACCCAGGCGCCCTGTGCTTCCCAGTCTTAAACTCTCAGAGTTTCTCAGCCCTTTCAGGGCCCCAGTGCCCTAGGTACATAAGAAAAGGGACCTTCTTGTCGAGTTCCTTTTGGTCTTTAGTCCTAACACAAGGTTGGGGACTTTAGCCAGAAGGGGTAGAGGGGGGAAAGGGGGAGATGCTGCCCCCTTGCCTCCTGCTCTGCAAGCTGATCTTCAGACAGGGATAGGGCTAGTTAGGACCCACGAACTGCACCCTCCAGGACCCACTTCTTGGGACAATCGTCTAAAGGAATGGGGCATTCTACCTATACCTGGCAGAATACATGAATTAGATGAAGTTGCTAACTTTACCTCTGGACCTGAACTTCAACGTGAAGGTGGATATTTATAGCAAAGTCTCACTATTTCTTCCCATAGACCTCATCTGAGGGTCAGGCTTCTTAGGTTTCTGTTCCATCCATATCGACCAGCTAAGAAAGACCTTGAGTAAGTTACTTTCCCTCTCTGTATCAATTTCCTCAACAGTTACATGGAAATAATAGTAACAACAATAATAATACCACCCACCTTCCTGCTCACAGAGTTCTTTAAAAGATCAAAGATGTAAGTGCTCAGTAAGTGAAAAGCCAGTGCAAATAAAAGGCAATATTTTCTCCGTGCATTTTAAATCCCTCCTTCTGTAGCAGGAAAGCACCACACTGGCTTATTGTTATCCCTAGTTAAGGCAAAGATTGCCCTTTGGTCTGCAGTCCCTAAGGCACAGAGATGGGAAGTGAGATGTGAACAAATCCATTATTACAAATCAATGATCAAGCATCTTCCCAGGGTCAGCCATTCTCCCTCCAGAGAAGGGTTTGCGGAGGGGTATTCACTCGCAATTGTTTTAACAGCCTGGCTGCTCTCTGTGCCAGCCACCCTCCCAGAAACACAGGTTGGTGAGAGGAGGTGCAGAATGAATAACTAGCTAGCACCTTCCTGGTTCTGGATTCTGTGAAGGGGGTGGAAAGCTCTGCTACAGACACACACCCCGCAGGATAATTCTAGCTGATGCCCTGGCAGGGCACTCGGAAGCACGCTTCTGCAAATCATCCAGGATGCATCACCGACTAGATTCTGGTACTCAGAGCTTCAAGCCGGCCAAGACTTCCTTGCTGGCTGATCTGTCAGGCAGCTCCACTAGGGACTCCCTGGCGTCCCTGTGGAACACGGAGCCCAGGCCATCTGCGTTCCTATTCTCCAGCTGGAAGCTGCCCACCAGTTCCTGGATCCACTGTAGGTCTGCTGAGAACGCCTGCCTTAAAGCTTCAAACTGTGCCTGCAGATGGTCCAATTTCCTGGCCATGCTTCCGAGACGGGCCCCTGTGGCCCGGATGTCTTCTCGCAGGAGCTTCTTCAAGGACTCCACTTTGCGGAACTCGTACTTGAGCTGCGATAGGTCATGCCGGGCGCTCTCGCTCTCCTCTCGGTACCAAGCTTCCTTCTCGTTGTATATGGAGACCAGGGCCTCCATATCGTCCTGGATGGTGTCGTGGGTCCCTGCCAGGGCACGGCATCCCCAGTCGACCTGAGCCACGTCCTCTACTACACGGGCAAAACGCTCGAAGTTGACGTAGGTGTTATTGGGGGGCATGCTCGAATGGCATTTGAGGGTGTATTCTCTCAGGCGCTTGGTCTTCAGCTGGGGGGGCTCTGTCTTCTGCTGTTCCGGGGCTCTGACTTCTCCTTTGGACTGGTGGGTGTTTAGATAGAACAGCCAGAATTAAGTTGATGCCTGATCCGAAGGGCAGTTCAAGGTGCAGGCAGAAGGCACACATTCACTGCATGCATCAGGCCACGGGGAGGACCACGGTGGGATGAGCCTCCCCACAGATGATGAAAAAGATTAAAGAGTACAGGGGTGCTGCCTGCATGCTCACTTCAGGGTTGGGGAGGGATCCATGGCCATTAGAGGAGGTCTCCACATGCATAGCATTTAGGGAGCTCACACGGGCAAGCAGGCTATAGCCAGGACTCTGCAGGCATCCACTCAAAGGTAGGAGCAGACAAGGCCATGGCTGACAGAGGGGGGTTGAGGGACCTTTCTCCTTCAGGGCCGGTTGGCGTCCCAGACCTAGGCAACTCAGCACACTAAGCCTGAGAGACTCCCTTGCTCTGGGCTCTGGGCCCACTCCAAACCTAGAGGGCCCTTGGCCTTCCCCATCCTTTAATGAGCAGATGAACGTGACCTTCTCTGAAGCATTCCAGCCCTCCCTGCCCTCCATCCTCCATAGGCCCTATCCTTCCGCATCTGCATGCTCAGATCATCCTAGCCAGCCCTCTCCTTGCAATGCGGGTGAACGGGAAGTCTGGTGAGGCCCAGGGAGTACACATCTCATCAGGCAGCAGAAGTAGGGCCAGAATCCTGGTCTCCTGATTCTCACCCCACCAAAGTGTTTTGTTTTTTTGTAAGTAATCTCGACGCCCTATGTGGGGCTTGAAGGCTTGAACTCCCAACTCCAAGGTCAAGAGTCACATGCTCTGCAGCTGAGCCAGTCAGACGCCCCTCGGCAAAGTGCTTTTAACTAGCACTTTACTGTACTGTGACTAGACAGCAAGACCCTCCCCAAACCAGCGGCTGGAAGCCCAATTACGAAGCAGGTTAGGCGGGGAGTTGCCTTCGTGCCCCCATCTCCCCAGAGGGAACAGCATCGCCCTGGGGGTGACCACCTCTCTTCCCCACCAGGCTTCCATCTCCGAGCCCTGTTCTGGTCAGAGTGTCATCCTTTACTCTGAGTGCCGAAAGTTAGAAAGAAGGAGCCTTGGTTACAGAGTTGAGGTTTTAATTGTCATTGCTTTCTCTCTACAACTTGGGAGTCCTGATTTCTGCTCTGAGAGTGACAGTGACACGTCCTCTGACAAAGTACGCTTTGTAAGATGGCCCCAAAGAAAAAGGTTTCAACGGAGCTTTGTGAGGTTTTGTTTCATAAGTCACCTGAACCTGTGAAATACAAACTTAAACCTATGAACCTATTTGAACAAATCCAGACCATTTGGCACCCCCGCCCGGCTTTCATCGGTGCCCGAGGGTGGGTGTTTCTAGCAAAGGTCTTTCGGTGGGCCCTCTGCATCTGGCCACCCACCCAGAGAGACTGCCGACCTGCCTGCTCACTGGCACTCCACAACATGCCCTTACCGTGATCCAGGGGTGTCTGAGAGCCTCCTGGATTGTGAGCCGTTTCCTGCAACGAGGATCAGAAAACAGTGATGATCCATGAAGACAGAAGCTGAGAGCAATGGTCTCCATTCTTACTCTTGTCAGACCCGCACTGTGGCATTCTTTGACTATTGCCATTGAACCAGAATAATGGGGGATGCAGAGATGGATGGGGAACTGGCTGAAGTCCCCGCATTCCAGAGAAAGTGGTCCAGGCAGGCCCCTCAGTAGAGTGACATTATGTAAACCCTCATCTTTGGTCCTGAACTTCAAGGGCCTAACGCCACACTCTATGAGAGTCATAAGTGCTCTTGTGAGCTTTAGCTCTCCACAGACCACGAAACCTCGGTGTTTTTCTGTTTGCTTCCCAGATCCCTTTTCCGTCCTTCCCTGCTCTGGTAAGGACCTGACCTAGCACTGCCATTGGATGGGGAAACCAGGCCCCTGCCCTTCAGAGGACCCCATTCTGGCTCTCTCTGAAGTCTGTGGGACCAAGAGGACATGGCCTTCTAGAATCTGGAGATCTCATTCCTGTCCCATCTAGTCCATGCTCTGGGCACCCAGCACCTTAGAATCCCCGGCCTATCTCCTGCTTTGACTCTATAGCCATGGGGCTCACCCTGGGCCCCAAAAAGGGGTAGGATTAGTATGTCTCCTATTCTCCCACTTATTGGCCCCTCTGAGTCTGCCTCCCCCAAATCCCACCTGAATTGGTTTAGAAACTCTGCCACTTTCCTTTTCAAATCCTAGTTCTAGGTGCCTTTGGGACAGACCGGAAAAGATGATGTGCCCTAGAGAAACCCAGGCTGATTTTCAAACATGCATGTGTGCATACACGCGCACGTGTGCGCACACATACACACAGAGCTATTTGTACTTTGGCAAGAAAGAAAGCAGAAAGACTTGAGCAAGCAAGATGAATGCCAAGTCTCAGCTAATCCACGCTTCTCAGCGCCTGCCCAGATTAGGCCACAATGGTGCAGATGGCAGCCCATGGCAAAGTAGGGACAGAATGACATGTCTTTGGGAGAGGGGACAGGAGGTCAGTACCCCAGAAGCCCATGCCTTTCTCTGTCATCTTACCGGGTGTCTTTAACCAGAAGCTTCCGAATGAAGTCCTTGGCGAGCTCACTGGTCTGGCTGAAGAATTCCTCGTCAAAGTCGTAACTCACTGCTGTGATATTTGTTAGCGTTTCCTGCTTCGTGTCTCCCAGGAAAGGGGATGCTCCACTTAGGCTGAGCACACAGAGAGGGAACACGTGACTGTAGGTAAGTAGACAGAGGTGGGGCTGATGGAATCAGGGAACCCTGACTCATACTGTTGCCTGGGGATGGGAGGCTCCTAGCAACACCGCCTGCCCGCCTCTGGGCAGCCAGTCAGCAGCCTTTTCAGCTAACAGTTGAATTCAATCTACTTTATGGAGCTCTTACTAAGTACGTGACAGAGAGAAACTGTGTCTGCAAGGAACTTGAAGAGGAGGGGAGGAAACACAGGGACATGGCTTTTCATAATCCCAAGCAGAATAAAGCAGAATATAATGGAAGACCAGATGAAGGACTGGGGGAGCACAGGACAGAGGGGAAACCCAATGCAGGCTTCATGGGGGAGTTGACATTTGTATCAGCTGCATCTTGAAGAATGAAGAGGCTATCAGCAGTCAGAGGAGATGAAAGGTCTTCTAGACTAAGGGAACAGCTTGAGCCAAACCTGAGAGGTGTGGGAAGAGATGGGCCATTAGGGCCTAGACAGGTGTGTCAGGTTCCCCTGCAGGGTTTGTCAAGAATGTGTCATTCAGATAGTGACTCCCAAATCTACTGTTTCCTGACTCATATTGGGATACCTCTTATGGGATACCTCTCCCTAGATGTGCCAATTGTCACTGTGCCCCAACCTCCCTCCATGAGCTCCCTGCCTTGATTAATGATGTCCCTTCATGGATGCACCCAAGCTAGAACACAGGGACCACCTCTGACTCTTCCATCCATTCCCTCACCACATCTAACCGGCCCCAAACTCTTGTTGGTTTTATATACTAAATATCTCTCGAAGGTCATCCCCAACCCACTGCCACTTTCTTGGCAGAGTGGCAGCAAGGTGCACTGGGAAAATTTTGATATTTCAGTCCTGGATTTGAATCCCAGCTCTGCTACTCAATAGCTGTGTGAACCTAGGTAAGTTACTCAACCTCTCTGAGCTGCAGTTTCCTTCTCTATAAAATGAAGAACATAAAAGCCTCCACCTCACGTGATTGTTGTAAAGAATAAATACATTGACAATGCTCCCTGCAATCTTGCTCATTCTAAGCGCTCTGGAATTGGTGGCCATTATTTCTGTCTTTGAACCCAAAGAACCTTCTATGACTCCCCATTTTCTACAGGGTCACATCTAAACTCGTTCAATCTTCCACAGCCCCAGCAAACCAGTGCCTCTCCCAGCTGTGTCTCACAGAGACGTGTTCATACATCCAGTGTGACTTTGGTCCCACTGAGTGCGACTTAGCTGTGTGGTGTCTCCCCCCGACAAGGGGAGCTCCAGGCAAGCAGGGCAGACCTCCTTCATGTCAGCATCCTGCATGCCTGGCCCAGTGCCCACCACGGAGCAGGCACTCAAGAAACTGTGTGGGACTCCAATGAGCTGCAAGAAGGCTCAATATTTCAATAAGGAAATCAGAGTTCTGAAAAAAAAAAATCAAGGTTTCAAGAGCCAATGCAGAATCTGGAACCATCGAGCACTGCATCAGATTCTCTTTCTCTGCATCCAATTCCTCTGGGGCTTTTAAAAAATACTGATGCCCAGGCGCACCTGGGTGGCTCAGTCCGTTAAGTGTCTGACTCTTGATTTCGGCTCAGGTCATAATCTCAGGGTCCTGGGACAGAGACTTGCGTGGGGCTCTGTGCTCTGCGAGGAGTCTGCTTGAGGATTCTCCCTCCCCTCTTCCTCTGCCCCTCCTCCCACTTGTGCACATGCTCTCTCTCTCAGTAAATATATAAATCTTTTTTTAAAAAACTGATTAAAAAATACTGATGCCCAGACTCCATCTCTAGCAATTCTGAGATAATAGATCTGCAGTGGGCCTGGGCAGCGGTAGGTATTAAAAGGTCTAACGTGCAGCCAGGATCGAGACCTTCCTCCGCAGCTCAGGGGGGTCCACCAGGTCGTACAGAGCTCCCAGTCTGTGGGCTGCTGGAAAAGTCAGAGAACTGGCATGCGGGGGTGTGGGGCACTGGAGCCCCCACGGCGCCTCTGGCTGCTGGCGGGCTCTTACCCAGTGTGCCCTAAAAATAGCACGTCCCAGGTGTGCGGTGAGGGGAAGCCAGTGGGGAAGCATGCTGGAATGCATGCTGACTCATCAGCCACGTGCCACGTGCCAGAGCCGCGCCGGGAGCTTTGCACGTGGCGGCTCACCTAAGCTGCCCAGCACACCCGTGGGCAGGAAGTTTGCGATTCTTATTTTCCTGATGAGGAAAACAGGCCCAGAGGTTAAGTATCTGCCCAAGGCCACAGAGATCGAAAGTGACAGATCCACTGCACATGGAGCTCCACGGGAAATGGCTGCTTAAGCAACTTAATATTTCGGGGCTGGGAAAGAGGCTCTGGGGAGAAACAAGAGAGCCTGTGAGAGTTGGGGAAGGAAGGGGAGAGGGGAGAGAAAGACGCGGGATCCGGGAAGGCACAGCAGCCTGGAGGGCTGGACCAAGGCTTCTGGGCGAAAGCCAACTTTGTCACAGGACGTGCAGCCTGGGTGTGCCTGGCCACAGTGGGGATGCTGACAAGGCTGCACCTCTGCCCCGGGGCCGAGCGTCTGAAACGGAGCTAAGAGCTCAGACCGCCAGGTGTGCCGTGTGCATTCAACATATCTGGCTCGTGGGAAATGAGGAAATGAGGGAAATCAGTAAATTCAGTCTGCCTGTCTGCCTGCCCCTCTCTCATTCCTCCCGGGTCCCCTGGATCCAAGCTAGGTCGGCGCCCCGGCATCGGGGATACTCACAGGATGTACGTGATGACGCCTATGCTCCTGAAAAACAAAAAACAGGCCAGTCAGAGCCACCTGGCTCTGGTCCCAGCCCAGCAAGGGACTCCCCCGCACGGTCCTCAGGGGAAGGGGTCACTTGCCCCTCCACGGCGGCCTAAAGATGCCATCTCAAGTCCATGACCCCCTCCATCCTGCTCTTCAGCAGCAGCCAGGGATGTGTCTGGAGTCATCGAGCTCTGGACATTCAATCCGAGGACCCGAGTTCAAGATCAGGCTCCTGCACTTGCAGGCTGTGATTGGGACAAGTCCCTTATCATCCATCTCTGAGCCTCTCTCTGGTCATAAAATGAAGGTAATGAAAACTACCTCACAAAACTGGTGGGTGGATTTTAGAAAACCAGGCAATCAAGGTACTCAGCCAACTATAAAGCCCTGTGCAAATGAAATGAGTCCTGTCTGTGCAGAAAATTCACTACAGTATCTCCGGGCCCCACACAGCGCTTAGAGCCTAAGAGGCTCTCAGTGATCACTTGGTTAACTGAATGAGCTATCGTTACTATTTCTTTACCATGGCTGTGGCAGGCCTCAGGGCTGAGCCTGCACCTGCAGCCTTACTTCTCCCCTGGTCTCTGCCGTGGCCATATTCTAACTGGCCTCAGGTCCGGGCCTGGCTGCCTCCAGCTGCCTGGCCCGCGGGTCCAGCACACTTGGAGCAACCAGAGGCTCCGAACGTGCGGAGGAAGGGGTTTTCATGGTCGAGGGGGATGTCAGCCGGAGCCGGGGTCTGAGGCCTGCTGCCCTTGAAAGGATCCCTAGGTCACCTGGGTGGTCTGTACAACTTACCACATGTCAGCCTCCAGGCCCAGGGGCTCGTAGTTCACAATTTCTGGAGCTAAAAGAAGCCAAATTGAAGAATCAGCCAAGTTGAGAATGAAAATGAGAAGACATGGCTCGAGAGAATTTTAGGGCGTTTGGTGACAAATGTCTCCCTCCTGAATCCTCACTAAGGAAAAATCAGAGCAACAGATGGAGATAATTCTGGGTCTAAGAATTTTGAGAAATGAAGTTGCCGGTTATTCTGGTGGAAAGCTTTTACACAGAGGCCTTGATAGTGAGGAAGAGGGACACCTGGAAGAGGAAGAGCAGGGTGGCATGAGGAAGATGCAGGAAGGGGAAATGGGACCTAGCAACAAGGCCTGCTTTAGAACTCTCTGGTGGAAACCAGTTAGGTCAGCGCTGGAAGGTGATAATGAAGAAAAGAAGGCAGTGGGGAATCCACATTCCTGAGTCTGGCCTGAAAGAGGGTCACCTCCCCACTGAGTTGAGAATGAAGACATTCTGGGGCCAATGACATGATGAGCCTGAGGTGCCTGAGGGGCATCCAGGCAAACATGTCCTAGGAACAGGAGAGGGAGTCAGAACCATCAAATCCTGAGCCATTCATTGTACACATGGAAACAGGAGCTGTGTGGATGACGTGGTGACCAGGAGTGGGTACAGAGTCTAGGAAAGAAGATTCTACCCAGGACTGAAGAGGGCCAAGTGCTGCCCAAAGATGAAGCAGGCAAGCACTTGGAAAGTGAGTAATGTCCAGCGAGTGCCCGGATGGTGGAAGTTGAGATAAGAGTGTAGACAACGCCATAAAAAAACTTGGCCATGAAACAGAGGAGAAAGAGAGGTGAGTAGCTAGAGAAGAGAGAAGGGCTGAGCCTGTTTGATCATAATGTAAAAAGGGAGACAGTGGGAAAGGCTACGTTTGTTCATCTAGAACAATATTAAAACCATTGCATCTATGGGGTGTGCCCACCTTCCCACCTCTCCCTACTTTGAGACACAAGGAACCACTTTTCTGGCTTATTTTTTAGCTTCATAAAAATGATGTAGTCACTTGGTGCCCCCCCCCCCCCCCCACTTAACATTATGCTTCTAGCGTTCATTCAGGGTTCATCCATGGTCTTTCGTTTTCACTGCTATGTAATAGTCCACTGAGCAAATATATAGCATCTTCCCTTCACGGTCCTCTCAGTGATCATTTGGATGGTTTCCACTTCTTTTCTTACTGGAACAACATTGCTATGAACTTTTTTGCACACGTCTCCTCACAAACATGAAAGACTTCCTCTCGGACAGTGATTCAAGGTGCAGTCTGAAGATAAACGGTCACTGGTCCAGACACAACAGGTACAGAAATTGGGAGTAAGCATTTAGAAACTTGTAGAGCAACTTGACATTGCCATGACATTCAAATTGTGATAATTTTTCTAGGGATTTATTTTTCTCATATCTCACTGAAGAAGCAGTCCAGGACAGATTGAAGACATTTTTTTTTTCAGTCTTTCACCACAGAGAGTTTGAGAAACACAACTCATTTTCCAAGCTTATCTGCTTGATATGCATATACATGCACTTCTGTCCTCTGTGTGCTTTTGTTGCTCCATTTTCTTCCGTGCTTTTCTTCTTTCTTGGTTTTTTTTTTTTTTTTATTACTTTTCTTATTGTTTTCCCCCCTACTTATATTTTTGTAATGGCCACTTTTGAGACTTTAGGATGGCTATGTAACAAATTCTAACATAAAGCAGTGTTTTGACCTCCCTCTAACAATACAAGAACCTTAGAACACTAATTTCAAGCACTCTGTCCTAACATTATTTTCTTCAACTTTTAGTTCTTTTTTTAACCCCACAATTAAAACATTACCATCATCATTTTAAACAGAAAATGTTTATATTTGCCTATTGTTTACTGATTTCTTCGCTCCTATTACTTGTTGCATTGAGACTTCCCCTCAAAGGTCATTTAATTCACAAGCACATCTTTGGAGGTTCTATTAATAAATGCCCATTGGTGGTTAATTGTTTCATGGTTTGTCTTTTTTGTTGTTCACTTGTAATTTTTTTGCTTTGTTTTGTCTGAATCATTTACCCTCATTCCTGAAATATAACATTCCTGGGTATGCAGTTATGGGTCCTTTTTTTTTTTTGAGGATGTAATTGACTTTATTAAGCAATTCATGAATCAGCATCCCATCTAGTAAGTAGAGAGATGCTCCCTATTGGTTTTTTATTTTTCCTCAGCTCTTGAAAGATAATATTCTATCAGTCATCGGCTTCCATTGTTGTTTTGAGAAGTATGCTGTCAGTCTAATTTTTTAAAATTTGTATTGATTGATTGATTGATGATCTGTCTTTTCTCTCTGGCTACTTTTAAGATCTCTTTGCCTTTGGTAACCTATAGTTTAACTGTAATGTTAGCTTTAGTATAACTATAATGAATTTACTTTTATTGTTTTCTGTTTGATATACATTGTCCTTCCTGTGTCTGGGGATGCACGTTTTTACAACAGTTCTGAAAATTCTCAGCCATCTTCTTCAAACGTTGCTCCTCTGTTGTCTCCATTCCCTCCTCTGGGATTCCAAACAGACCTATGTTAGGCTTTCCATTTTTACCCTCTTACACTTGTCCTCTATTTCATATTCCTGTGTCTTTGTCCTTTTGTGGTATTCTAGCTAATTTTTCCAGCTCTGCCTTTCAATTTTTCAATTTTCTCTTCAGCTGTGTAAAATCTGCTGTTTAACTCATTCACTGAATTTTAAATTTCTAGGAATATATACTGAATCTCTCAAACTTCCATCTGGTTCTTTCTAGAATTTGCCTGCTCATTTTTGACAGTCTCTTGTTGCTTGCTTATTCTTGTGTTTCTATCTCTTATTTCTATATACATTCCATTTATTTTATACTCAACATCTGCTAATTTCAATATCTTATGTCCTCGGATATCTAAGTCTTGCTGGTCTCTCACTGAAACACTGATACATTCCTTGCCTTTGGGAGAGGTCCTTCTATTGAATTCTTTTGCTGCTCACAGCCCCAGCTCTAAGTTCATTTCACTGGCTTTGGAGGTGGGGCCGGTGATGCTGGAGGAGTTACTACCCTTAAAGATTTCTCTTATTTCCTATGAGTCCAGAATTTCATTAAAAAGAATATTTTTCTCAAGAATCCAGTTTTGTAGCAGGAGGGCTTTTGGAAGACCAGATCCACCACAATCCTAGAGGCTGGCAGTAATAACTTTTCAACATTGTGCCCCAGGTTCAGATTTCAAAGGAATGGTGAGAGGAGGACAAGTGATTATAACCCTGTTTCTCAGGAGTCCTGGGTAAAGAAAGTCATCATAATTTGGGCAGGGACCTAAAGAAGTCACCTTATAAATCTGTAAGGTGCAAACAAAACCAGTTCTGGGCTGGAGCTTGATCATACTGGTTCACCAGAGTCAACTGTGTGCATCTCCTCCCAACCCTGAATTCAGTGACCAGTTGGTAGCTTAAAATTGGCAAATGCTATAAATTAGGGTTGTGTTTTGTTTTGTTTTGAGACCCTGTTGTTAGACATTAAACAGCATACCACTGGAAAAAAAACCTCCACAGTCTGGCCTACTCATCAATATCCCACTCACATGGCCAGTCTGATGGGAACTCTGCTCCATCCGGAGTGGACAGTGAACTGTCCCCAATAAATGCACTAATTCTGGCCCTACCTCCTGCTATAAACGACGGAACCTGGGATGTGCTCCTCCTCTACCCTGGCGCTGTCCCCATCCCTCTTCAGACACTTCTCCCACCCACAACACCAGCCCTTTGTCTCTCGTTGACTCAAGGTCATGGTTGATCCCACTGACTTTGCCAGAGTGGCCATCTTGTTTGAATGGTCTTTCAGAGATATCTCTATCATTCACTTTATAATTAATCACATCCTGTCTTGTGACACTTCTTCCACTGTTGCCCTGAATTTCTTGTTGAACTGTCTGTTGTTGATTAACACTTGGTATGAACTTAACTAAATAAATATATGCATTTTATCTACATATGTGAATAGTGGACAGCAACTGCTATCTTGGACAAAGTTCAAGAATAGATGTCTTGTGCCCCGGGTTCAAGTTGGTTCTGCCACCAACTCACTGTGTGACCTTGGATGTGTCATTCTGAGTGTGACTCCTTGCCATGACTGTGTCTCCAGTAACTCACCTAATATCTGTTACACAGTAGATGAAGAATAACCATTCCTTGACCTTAACTAAAATCCCCTAGCCTTCCAATTCCACATTTGTTAAACTAGACCAGATGACCTAAAAAGATCCTTCCAGCAGTCTTACTTGATGGTTTGATGTCTTGTTTCCACACTAAATTGTAAGCCTCCTGGGGGGAAGGTCTTTATAGAGAGACGACCCAGTGTAACCAAAAGAGCACAGGCTTTGATGTTGGCTGTATCCACATTTGAATCTTAGCTCTACCACCTACTGGTTATTTTGCCTTGAATAAAGCATTTGATAGAGAAAATAACTAAATCTGCTTTATGAGGTTGTTTGAAGATTAACTGAGATAATGTCTGTAGGGCACCAGCATAGTGCCTGGCAAGGTTCCCCTACCTTGGGGTCTGGGGGGCCTGGACAGCACTGTTCTATAACGGCCGGGGAGCTGTTACGTGTGACCTGAACATCCATCAGAATGGATGATCTGACACATTCTATTTTCCTTTTTGATTAGACTGTGGTCAGAAGTTTCCGCCTCTAGGTTTTGGGGAGACCACGCCCTCCCTCCATTTCCAAGACCACTCCAACTTCCAAAGCAGAGAGACGGTGGTCCTCAGTTCTCATTCCTCTCCCCTCTGCAAGGCTGTCTCTCTAGGACCCCCAACCTGCAGCCCCAGTCTCATGCGGGGGTTTCTGGGGCCTGAGCCAAGGCTGAGAGAAGCAGAGGGAAGACAGAGCTGCCAGGGCCCTGCTCCAGGAGGCGCCCCCCCCCATGCACGAATAAAGGCCAGGCACACAGGAGAGGTGAGTGGGTGGATCTGGCATTTGGCAGATGATTTCCCTTTTCCTTTTCAGGAAATCAAAAGCTGCTCCAGAGAAATTTGAGTTTATGGGAATGCCAGAGGGTGAAGTAATTTTAAATCTTCACAATAAATTCAACTAAGAGCAGAGGGGTGGGGCCAGCTCCGGGAGGATCTGACTCGGCAAAGACCTGTAGCCCCACCTGGCCTCCCCCTCCCTGACTGGGTGCTCAAAGCCAGCACCTGAACTCTTACCCAGAAGACCAGCGGGACATTTTATTTCTAAGGCCGGGGCGGGGGGGGGGGGGGCTCTCCAAGCCACCACCTCTCAGCCCAGAGACCACAGCCCTAGACACAGGGTTTATTCCCAGAATTTCTCTACCTTTTGATCCCAGATGCTTTTGTGGGAGAGAAACAGGCCTAAAACTCACCAACAAATTCTGGCGTCCCAAATATGTTCTTAAATTCAACTCCATCTTCTATTTCATGAGCCAGGCCAAAGTCAATCAGCTTGATGTGTGGAATGGGAATATTCTTGTCTAACAACATAATGTTTTCTGGCTGGAGAACAAAACAAAACAAAAAAAAGGAAAGGAAGAAAAGATGGTAATTAAAGCCCTGTTTTGTGTCTTCACTTTGGGGTTAGGGTGAGGTTTGGTATTCTTGTTTAGGAGACTAAAACTCTTTCTTGTTTTTGTGTCCTGTATTTTCCTGCGAACTCAAAAACAGGCACAGCACTGAGGGTAAGGCCCAGGTTTTACCAAGCCTGCTGCTTCCAGCAGCACCAGAGACCTTAGCTTCTGTCTCTGAATGGCAGATCCCTTTCATGCAGTGCCTCTGTTTCCCAATCTGTTAGATGGGGCCAGTGAGAAACTTGCAGCATTTCCTGTAAACAAAACCCCTGCCCCCATGTGAGGATGGGAGGGATGGGAGCCTAGGAGCCTAGCCTCGGTTTACACTTGGCTTAGTAACCTTTGCTTCCTGACCACCTTGTCCCCCCGGCTGGCCAGCTTCCTGTTGACAAACTCCCCTCCTCTGGACTAACCACGTAGCTCACACTTCTCTATGTGTTTAACTGATTATGGCCCTCGGCAGGACACGGGGGACAAATGCACCTGATTTACAGGGAAAATAGCAGCTGCCCAGGCTATCTCCAGCGTCACAGACTGCTGTCAGATCTGATGCAATTGTGTGGGTGTGTGTTGGGTGGGGGATGGCCCTGCCCTGGCCCCAACCACCACAGGCTCTCAGTGAGGCCAGAACAGGAGCCTGCCCTTCTCACCCCCACCCAACCACTCAGAGTCCAGAGTGGGTGAGCCCGTTGCTCTGCTTCACCCTGTCCCCTCCCACTCCCTGCCATGGGGGTCCTAGGCTCCACTCAAACGGAATGTCCTGAAAACATACATCTACACCAAAACATCAAATGTCACATTTGACATCAAATGTCAAAAGGGAAAACAAGACAAATGTCCATCAACTGGTGGATATGGTATATCCATGTAGTGGAATCCTATTTGGCCATAAAGAGGAATGAAGGCAAAGGAAAAATAAAAAGGACTGAAATATTGATACTTCTGCATGGACGAACCTTGAAAACGTTATGCCGAGGACGCCTGGGGTTTCAGTTGGTTAAGCGTCTGCCTTCAGCTCAGGTCATGATCCCAGGGTCCTGGGATCGAGCCCTGCGTTGGGCTCCTTGCTCAGCGGGGAGTCTGCTTCTTCCTCTCCCTCTGCTCCTCCCCCCACTCATGCTATTTCTCTCTATCTAATAAATAAATAAAATCTTTAAAAAAAAGAAAAGGAAAACATTATGCCAAGTGATAGAATCAGTCACAAAAGACCATGCGTTATAGGATTCCATTTATACAAAATATCCTGACTAGGTAAATCCATAGAAACAGAAAGTAGACTGGTAGTTGTCGAGGACTGGGGGAATGGGGAGTGACTGCTAATGAGTATGGGGCTTTTTTTTTTTTGGAGTGATAAATATTTTCTAAAATTGAATTTGGTGTCAATTGCACAACTCTGTAAACTGTACACTTTACATGGGTGAACGGTATAGTATATGACTTATTACCTCAATAAAGCAGTTTTAAATAAATTAAGAAAATCAAACGGCCCTATTTCCAAAGTCCTAAAGAATTTCCCACCTTGTACCTTGGATCCCATTATTTGCTCTACCTAGAAAGCCTTCTGCTTGATCTGCCCATTAAAATCCTAGCTGGGGGGCGCCTGGGTGGCTCAGTTGGTTAAGCGACTGCCTTCGGCTCAGGTCATGATCCTGGAGTCCCGGGATCGAGTCCCGCATCGGGCTCCCTGCTCGGCAGGGAGTCTGCTTCTCCCTCTGCCCTCTTCCCTCTCGTGCTCTCTGTCTCTTATTCTCTCTCTCAAATAAATAAATAAAATCTTTAAAAATAAAATAAAATAAAATAAAATCCTAGCTGGGCTTCAAAGTCTGCCTCAACTCAGCTAGCCCTTGAAAGCTTTCCTCACTGAGTACCCCTCCCCCCACACCCACCAGAAATGAATCCTCCTCCCCAGTCCCCTTGGTGCTTATTTGAACCTTTTTGCTATGACATTTGTCACACTCTCTGTTGCCCAACAGTCCTTGTTGTCACTGTCCTAGCTCCTCTACCTCAGCTGGAGGGAAGGATTCAGGTCTTTGCGTGTTCACCCCTGCAGTGCAGAGCACCGAGGCAGGCAGGCTGAGGGTGGCCCTAGATTAGCTGAACTGATTCTAAATCTGGCCCCTAGATTAGCTGAACTGATTCTAAATCTGGCCTGAAGACACTCCAGGTGCCGCATCCCGAACTTCCTGGCTCTCTGCGACCTCATGTCAGAGTGGCTAGAAACTTTCACTCAAGGGAGCTGGCTGAGGCCTCCCCCGACTTTGAAAATAAATAACTAATACATCCCCCTTTGCATTTTTTTTAAGCTTATTTATCCTTTTTCCCCTTTGGAGATTTCTCTCCACTTTTATTTTGAAAATGTGTCAAAGTCCTCTCCCAAAGCAAAGCAGGGTCTTCGGCCCTGCAGAAAGGAGAGTAGGGACAGGGGAGGTCAGGAAATAGGACCCAGACAGATGGCCCCACTCCAGTACCCCCAATCCAGCCCTCCAATGGCTGCCCATGGACCCCGAGTGTCCTGGCACCCCATGCAGTGAGCTGTGCCCTCTCCACTGCCCACCATCACCCCGGCGGGGGGGCGGGGGAAGCTTCTCCTCCCTCCATTCTACCACATTCTTTAGTCATGTTAAAGGGAACTTCCCCTCCTCTCCAGGGAATGGCCCTGAGGCTTGTCTCTGGGGCTGAGGGTCAGGGCCCGAGGCTTTCTGATGAGCAGTGTGCTTGGGGTACAGCACATTCTGCATGAGGATGGGAGCCACAGTGGACAAAGGCAGTCACACCGGACCTGGTTTGGTGACCCCCAGGATTATGGGGGAGTAGGAACTGGGTGGGGAACATCAGAGAAGAAGGAAGAACAACGGGAAGCTGAATTCTCCCAGGCAGCACTGCTCTGAATGGTGAGAAGCATCCTTGCCTTATGTCCTCTCACCTCTGCGTCCCACAGCCTAGTAGACATAGCCTCTCCATGGCTTGTGAAAACCCCAGGGCCAGGCCACGTTTTCCTACCTGAGTACTGCCTGGCCCCACAAGTTCTTGTCCACCCCAAGAACGTAACACTCAGCAGGTGACTTCTCCCCTGCTTGGAACATTCTTCCTGCACAGTCCCTATCCCCAACCTGGTTAATTTCCTCTTCACATTTCAGTAAAAATAGTATCTCCTCCAGAAGGCCTACGCATGTGCGCACTCATCCTCCCCAGTTCCCATAACACCCTGTGCTTCCCCGATTCCACTGTCTCTTCCCGTTTCAAGGTGACGGCTTACTTATCTGTCTCCCCACACCGGGTTACAAGCTTCCTGAGAGTTTTGTTCCTCTTCTGGCTACAGAGCCTGGCATCCACCCGGTGCGCAATAACTGTCCCCTGAGTGAAGACAGCTATTTGGCTTCACTGTGCTAACCACGCACGTGAAATACTTTCCACCCCATCGAACCCTCCCGGCCATCTTCTGCGGTGGATGTCATCACTCCTCTGTTTCAGAAGGAGAAACCAAGACTGAAATACTGGCTTGTGAACAAAGGGCTTTTAACCTCTATCTGTTGGACTCCAAAGCTTCTGCTCCTAACAACTAGAGTAAATGATCTTCCTTCCCTGGGGCTCAAGTGTCCTGGGAATCCATCCCAGGGAGAAGTGGGAATGCTGCTTGGGCCTGACAACCTAGGGCAGGCTTGCACACTGGCGCGGCAGGGATGTTCTGCTAGGTGGGCAGGCCCCAGACTCTTGTCCTGCCCTCATCACTCACACACTGGCCCATCTGGACCAACTGTACCTTCAGGCTCAGATCTGCCCTGACTGGGAGTAAAAAGGAAAATAGCCCCTCTATCTGCAGCTCCTCTTGCTTTCAGAAGGGCTTCCTTCTTGCTATCCCAGCCTCCACGAACCCAGCCTGATGCTACCCAGGGGGCAAGGCAGGGGCTGACATCTTCTGAACATTTACCAAGGCAGGCAGCCCACTACTGCTCCATGTCATCCTCGTAACAGCACTGTTACCACCCCCATTTCACGGATGAGGAAACAGAGGCTCAGAGAGCTAACGCACTGGCCCAAAGTCCAACACCTCATAATGGCAGAGTCGGGGTGGGTTTCCTGGGCAGTCCAGCCCCTGCTGGCCACCACATCACCCAGTTTGGTTAACTATCTTCGGTGGTGCCGCTGACCATGAGAGAAAGCTCAAATGCCCTGCCTGATATTTGAGGCGTTGGGGCTCTGCTCTGGCTGCTCCATGCTGCCTTCCCAGCCTCATGGCCCATCCCCTCCTTGCACCTGCTCCCCAGCCCCTCCAGGTGGCTATTACCACACCCAGAACGACAGCTCGGCTCCATCCTTTGCTCCAGCTCTTCCCCTGGCCCAGAATGCCTTTCCTACTCCTCGTCACCCTTTCAGAGACTTGCCTCATCCCTGCCTCCTTCTACTTACTGCCTTACTTTTCAGTGAAGCGGCCCCTGGCCTTGGGCTCTAACCTGCTTGGTGCTGACAATGCTCATGAGCAAGTGGCCCTCCGTTGCAGGCTGTCTCTCATATTGTGACTCTGCTCCTCTCCTGGGTGGTGGCCTCCCCTGGAAAATTCAGATCAGTGCTGTTTCCTGGCGTCCCCTATGGTGTCTTGCATCCTGCGTGCTCCACTGAAATATGCTGACATGCACTGAAAGAACTGGGAGTTAGTGGTCCTTCTCTTTCTGTCCTAGGGAGGTCCTCCACCACCCCTGGGGGGCCCTAGGGCACTCCTCCCACAGGGCTGCTGTAGGCCTGGGTCAGAAGGGAGGACGACTGAGAAAGGAGGGCAACCTGAGGGCCAGCAAAGCAGCAGCTCCCCAAGGTCTAGGTTCTCAGCTTCTCTGCTCCCCCCTTCCCAAACAGGATAGGGCCCTAGAAAAGATCCCGGGCCTGGGTACTAGGAAATTCCAGTTTCACCTCCACCATACAAGGCCATGTGAACTT